TAGAGGGCCTCATCCACTCAGTCTTCCTCATCACATGGCCCGTAGCAGACTCCCACTACTATGTCATATGTATCAACGATGTCATGAAGTAGGACACTTGGCACAGTGCCACCCACTGCACTCAGTGTAAAAATTTAGATAGTCAAAACTGGTTTTATATACAATGTTTTTCATGCATGACAACTGACCTTTTCTTCTAAAATTATATAAAAAATATTTAAGAAACGGATGACATCACATATTTCTACGAACAACAATGAAAGAAGAGGAAGAATATTAAAAAGCTTAACAAAAACCAGCAAATAGTTGAACTGAGATAAAGTTACAGAACAACCAACTTGTCACCGATTATAGGGCTAAACAGCAGTTCAAATCTCCAAGCTGAGAACTGATACCTGCAGAAGAGCCAACCATTATTCCTTGATATTTTGAAGTAGCCTTAATAAATGAGACTCAATAACCTGTTGAACTAAAGCAGAGAAAAAAAACAAACAGGTTAATCGGTGTTCAATGTTTTTTCATATTTTTAATGTTGTACTATTTTTTCCCGGCAGATGACGACTTGTCCTGTACAACCATTTAATAAAAAACAGACAGGAATAAATTCACTCTGAGAAGAGTTTGCATTCCTTCAGAAATAAAAGCCTCATACAATGCAAAACCAATACACCCAGTAAGGCAGATGATGTTTTTTTGGAGGTGATGATCTGTTCTCTGGTTTGAATAGGCAGATAGCATAAGGAAAGCAAATTTTTAAGCCTGTAAATGGCAAGTAGGCAAAAACGTTTATTAGAAACTACTTCTGTGGAATATTTTGAGATTGAACTCTTGAAGTAGTTCTACATCTAGATATCTGTGAAGTTACTGTCTCCTCCATAAGCACAGGGCTCTGCTTGGAGGAGCTACATGTGCAGCGCTGAGCTTATTTTTGGATTCAGTTCATTTCTGTACTGGCAGACATTTCGCAGCTTTCAAAATGAAGGCAGCACGAGGGAAAAACAATGAAGAGTCTCTCTTTGCCTCTGTTTTCCAGAATCAAGTAAGGTAGCTTAATTCATTGATCCCAGCACTATTACTGTGCGCCTCCAAGATAAACTAGAGCTAGAGCTAGTCTGACAGGGGAAGAAGGTTTTGCAAACTACATCACATCATGCCAATCAACAGAACGCCAGGATGAGCTGTTCAGGAAGGCTGCAGGCCTCCTACATCGTCCAGTGCAACACACACTCCTTTGCACAGAGTGGGGTAGCAGCTCAGATCCCCTTGTCTGGATCACGGCTGCATCAGCCCTACACACTATTATTTGTGCCCATAGATGTAGATCCAGGTCAGTGACATTTTCTTACCAGGTACCGGGCTTTCAGAGACAGGGATGGAAACTCCTGCTCATTTGGGGCCAATACATTTAGGTGTATTAAGACTTGTAGGATAGGGACCTTCTTACAGCTGCAAAACCTCTGCTAGCAGCTACACAAAAAAGGAGCAGTAAAAATAAAAAGCAAAGAATTTACATTTGCAATACTCACCACTCCGATAGCCCAAGGCTACAGCCAAATCCATGGAATTATAGCCAGCATCTGTTTCGATGGTTGGATCAGCACCACTTTCTATGTAAAACAGGAAGAGAAACTCAGATTTCTGACAATGATAACTGGTAGTACGTTATTACTGATAATTCGGTTTGGACAGTCTGCTTACCGAGGAGAATTTTTACACATTTCACATGGTTCCCATGTACCGCATATAGCAGAGGTGTGCCTCCATTCTGCAAAAGCAGAGAAAAGCCTTAGACCCTTAATGATCGAGCAGTCTGCAACTGCAATTCCTTAACACACCAGTATACTTCTATGTATCAGTAAGAGACTTCACAGGTTTTATAAAAATGAGGTTCCATTTTGGTTCTTTACAGCTTTCATCTTTTTTGTCCACTGTTTAGACGATAACGTTCACCCTTCTGCAAGGACTCAGCGTTACTCTCCTTTTATCAAGAAGTCAGAACTAGTAGGGCCAACTTCTCTCATCCTTTGGAAGTTTTCAAACTCTATTTCTATTTCAAACTATTTCAGAAGAGGAAGAACAACTTTCAAACCCAAGCCAGTGCTGTGCCCTGTTTCAAATTTATAACCAAAGCACCCTCTGACATAAAAAACAAGCTACAGCCTTACCCAGTCATACTCATTGACATCAACTCCACAGTCAAGTAGCATTTTGACAATATCTGTGTATCCTTTACTGCAAGCTAGTGAGAGGGCACTTTCTCGCCCTTTCCCCAAAATCTGAGGATCTGCACCCTGAAAATAATAATTAAAACAAAAAAATCAAATTAACCATGCTTTTTTTTTAATGTCAGGTTTTACACAGAACTTAGGTTTAAAACTTTAAAGCGTATAGCAGCATCGACAAACTTAGGAATGCAAGTTGAACTAAAAAGTAAATAAATTTAAAATGAAGTGTGTTTTTTTCCTTACGTTCTGGAGGAGAAATTCCACTACTGCTATCTGCCCATGAGCTGCAGCCCACATCAGAGGGGTAAATCCTTCTTCATCCTTATGATTGATTACATTTTCTGTTTAAAGAAAAACATGCAACTTAATAACCACTTTCACTAATGCACTGTATGAACTGGTGAAATGCGTTGACATACCCATGGTGCATGGACTGAGGTACCAGTGTGTCCTAAAAGTCATTCTCATCTTAACTTTAAAAACAACATTTTTCCACTGGTGGTGCAAATATCTTTGTACGAGAAATAAAAAACCATCCAACTGACCAAAGTAAAACAATATTTGGGTTTATTTATTATTTTTTAAGCTTTATAAATCAAGCTCTGTTTTTACTCAGGAATGTTACAAGTTGTCTGTAAGCTGGGCTTTACCTCTGGAAAGAACAGGACTGCTTGAAAAATAATTAGGTACATTCTGTATTATACTGTAGAAAATGTTTTTTTCAATAGAGTGAACCTTACAATCTTGTAGAGAATTAGCTTATAAAGCAATATAGACAGTATAACTCCATTCCCCTCAAAGTTCATGTAATTAATAGGATGTTTTGTGGAAACAAAATTAAGGTCTACTTCTAGTGCAGCTGGAAGAAGGAAAAAGGACTTATTTTAACAATTGGCTGACTGAAATAGTTGCATTGGATTTTCTTTAATAACTAAGTTATTACTAACTTAAAAAAAAAAAATCCCTATGCTTATCATAGCACCATGTGTTTTTAACTGTTTGCTTTCCATATACATGGCTCGTTACAAAGTATAGAGACTCAGCAACTCATTACCTGCTTTCTAGTAAACATTTCAACAAAGATGCACTGAAAGCATGGCTGATTACTAATAGTACAAGAATATTCTATTAATGGTACTCAAATACGTTATGTAGAGTTCAAATTTTGTATATATATTATGGACACACAAACATCAGACTGAAGACTATCACAGAACTCAGAAGGAGTAGCACTACTATATTGCAGGTGTGAGCCATGGCTTAAATTACCACCATATAGCTCTATATGTTGACTGATTAAATAGAACTGGAAAGCCACCATTAATAGAAATATGTTTTAAATTAAAAACATAATTTTAAAACCCCAAAAAACTCTTCTGACAGAACTAACAGATTCTCCTTTCCTCCTCCTTTCTCCCCAGTTATACAGGTAGTTTTCATGGACTACTTATATAACTGGGAGCAGGGGGAGGAAAGGATTTAGCTAAAACTCCTATGAACACTAATATTTAATTTAAAACCCAAATCATACCAATGAGTTAATAAAGGCTAATGTGAAACAATGATCCACATCTACAAAGAAGAGATATACCTCAAATATCCTTCAATTTGTACCAGAATTGAGGACATCTTTAAATACAGCTTTGGGGGAAAAGTCAAGCACAACAGGGTATAAACACCCCAAAGAAAAAAGGAAGCCATTTAACCTCCCTCTGTCTCACCTTGTTCAATACGTGTGGCCAGATACAACATTTCTCCCTGAGCAGCCAGCTGATGAACCGATAAAGCTGCAAAAAGGGAAGCAAACACACGAGTTACACCAATTTTCATTCTGCTCTGTTTGAAGCTGGGCATAACATGTCCATTGGCTTCAGCAGTACAGAAATTGGATTTAAGAGGGTAGAAAGGTTTTGCCTTACACTCTGAACTGGAATCACTATCTTAAAAATGGAAGTTTCCAGAGTTTCACAGTTTTAGGTAATTTTTTAACCAATGTATAAATCATACTACAATGCAAAGGTAATTTGCAAGGCAACATGTCAATGCCTCTACGCTAACGCATGCAGCATGGGTAAGAGGAGCAAGAGGAAGCCAGTCAGTCTCACCTCTGTGCCCAGCAAGATCATGGAGCAGATCCTCCTGGCAACTATGCTAAGGAACATGGAAAATAAGGAGGTGATTGGTGACAGCCAACATGGCTTCACTAAGGGCAAATCCCGCCTGACTAATTTGGTAACCTTCTATGATGAGGTTACAGTATTGACGGATAAGGGGAAGAGCAACTGACATCATCTACCTGGACTTGTCCAAAGCATTTGATACTGTCCCACATGAAATCCTTGTCTCTAAACTGGCGAGACATGGATTTGATGGATGGACCACTCAGTGGATAAGGAATTGACTGGATGGTGGCACTCAAAGAGTTGCAGTGAACGGTTCAATGTCCAAGTGGAGGCCAGTGATGAGTGGTGTTCCTCAGGGGTCAGTACTGGAGCCAGTGCAGTTTAACATCTTTGTTGGAGACATGGACAGTGGGATCGAGTGCACCCTCAGCAAGTTTGCTTGGTGACACCAAGCCATGTGGTGTTGTGGATACGCTGGAGGGAAGGGATGCCATCCAGAGGGACCTTGACAGGCTGGAAAGGTGGGCCTGTGAGAACCTCATGAAGTTCAACAAGGCCAAAAGCAAGGTCCTGCACGTGGGTCGGCACAATCCCAAACATAAGTACAGGCTGGGCGGAGAATGGATTGAGAGCAGCCCTGAGGAAAAGGACTTGGGAGTGCTGGTGGATGAGAAGGTCAACAGGAGCCAGCAATGTGCGCTGGCAGCTCAGAAAGCCAACCGTATCCTGGGCTGTATCAAAAGAAGTGTGGCCAGCAGGTCGAGGGAAATGATTCTGCCCCTCTGCTCTCGTGAGACCCCACCTGGAATACTGCGTTCAGCTCTGGAGTCCCCAACACAAGAAGGACATGGAGCTGCTGGAGTAGGTCCAGAGGAGGGCCACGAAGATGATCTGAGGGCTGCAGCACCTCTGCTATGAAGACAGGCTGAGAGAGTTGGGGCTGTTCAGCCTGGAGAAGAGAAGGCTTCGGGGTGATC